ATTACTGTAAAGAACCAGTGGATAATATTAAAAAGACTTCACATTGACCTCATTAATAATTAGGCTATAAAACGATCACCCCAAAAAAGTTAGAAATTTAAGGAAAGTTCATTAGAATGATATTTGTGTAATTGATCTTTTGTACAGAGACTGGAAGTATTAAGATGACACAAGTGGGAAGAAATAAGTTCGAATATCAAAGGAATTGTCAACAGATGTACATGGTAAAACTCGAATTAGACACAGTAACTAACATCAACGCAACAGGAGATAACACCACACACGCACAACAACCACATTCACTACAACCACACACACACACTATAACAACACACACGCACAACAACCATACTTCCCACACACTATAAACACACTTATAACAACCACATACACAACAACCATCAACCACTTACAACCATCTATTATAATCACACACACAACAACAACAACCATTCACCACAACCATATACCACAGCCACACACGCCGTAAACTACAGCGACACACACATACAACAACCACACACTACAATCACAAACAACAACCACACACACACACAGCAAATATACGGTACAACCACACACACACACACACAGCAAATATACGGTACAACCACACACACACACAAAACCGCATACTACAACCGTACACGAAAGCCACATACCACATCAACAAACACAAAAACCACACATTCTCGTCACAAGTCAGGAATAAACTAACAAACACATATAAAGTGCAACAACAACTACAGACACACACACGGCACATGTTTCTCTCACTCGTGATCCAAACATTATCAAGATCTATAATACTAGACACGATTCTCAACTTTTCTTCATTGGTTGTGATGTTATTTCCAGTACCGATGCAGCAAGTGTAATACATTTTAAATCTTTACATTATGCTCATTCTTCCCTACTATAAATTTTACAGTGGCCAGCCTGTTGTTACAGTGGGGGTGATATACCATTATATACAGTACATACTTGATTAATGTTAACCATTGTTTAATATATCTGATTGTCGATGTACTTTTGTATACGTGCACTGTCTAACCTAACCTAAACCCACTTAACCTAATCTTAACCAAGGATTCTGAGACTACAGGAGGATAGCTCACTCAATGTTATTTTGTTTTTATCCTCCCGCGGCCGGGTTTGTAAAAAAAAAAAAATATTAAGGCAAGCCCATTTCGCTTTACATGATATTGTGCGATAACACTAGCTTATTCAGTAAAAACGTTTTATATGTAGTTAGCAGGTTATTGACATCCATCTTTAAATATCTAGGTATAATATCCCAAAGCAACACATTGATTATTTGGTAAATTTAGTTTAGTCCCCTCTTGTGGGTCGATGACTCCTGTGCCCGGTGGGCTATTACCCGTAAAAAACTACTGTTCGACCACAATTTTGTGTTTTTCCCATGGTATTTGGTATGATTCATTCGAATTTTACCCTCATTTCCGTCGGAAATTAATCGTTTTGGACTTATCGCCCCCCCCCCACACACACACAACCTGACATAACCAACCAAAGAAACCTACCTAACCTTACCTAACTTCCTAGCCGTCCCAGCTATATTAAACAGAAAGTACTTATTTTGATATGTAGTACCAATGAAAGTAACTTTGTTGAAGTATCATGGTGTAATTTATACTACAGACGGGCAAGGGGGGACCTAATTGAGGTGTATAAGCATCTCAAAGGGCACTACTCAGTCGAGTGTCCTTACCTGGAGCTGGCGGACGCTTGCCCCACAAGGGTCACAGCTCAAGATTGAAGAAGCCGCAAGCCCCCCAAAAAACTGCGAGGGCTAACTTTTTCGGAGTGAGAATTGCGAACTCTTGGAATAATCTGCCAGAGAGTGTAGTGACGGCACCGAGTGTGAGCTCTTTGAAGACCAGACTTTTTAAGCACTGGAGCAGGTTCAGATACATTCAGGAGCCGGTGCATGCCCAGTACTTGCCAACAGTGCGTAACAGAGACGTGACCGATAGCCCAAGCGGCTAACGAGCCGATCAGTGGTGAAGAGGATAAAAGTAAGTAACATAACCAACCTATGGGCATGTTAGGTCAGGTTATATTAGGTTCTATACATTGTCGTTTCCATTTTTGTTAAATATGATATTAGTGTGTAGAAAAAAAAGGTCATGTTTGATTAGGTTCTATGCATTATCGTGTTAATTTATGTGTTAAGCAACTTACCTTAATATTGAGGTTGATATACATCAGCAATGACGAGGAGGAATTCGTGGGATGAAGAAACTGCACTATTTGAGACTGAATGTGAGAAGGACCTAGGTGTGTATGTTGACAATGAACTGAAGTTCTCGGGCCATTGTGAGAAGAAGGTAAATCAGGCAAATAAATTATTGGGTCTTATAAGAAGGTCGTTCAGATATCTAGACGGTCCGTCCCTCGTAACGATCTTCAGGAGCGAAGTGCTTCCCCATCTGGAGTACTGTCACCCCATCTGGTCCCTGAGATATGCTAGGGACTGTCAGTTGGTTGAAAATGTTCAAAGGAGGGCCACCAGACTGGTGCCTGCACTTCGGCACCTCAACTACCCTGAGAGATTGGAGCGCCTGAACTTGCCTAGCTTATACTACAGACGGGCAAGGGGCGACCTAATTGAGGTGTATAAGCATCTCAAGGGGCACTACTCAGTCAGTGTCCTTACCTGGAGCTGGGGTGACCGGATAAAACCCCAAGGGACAAAACCTCAGTCATATACAAAATATAAAATAAAACACTTTTATGTTTAGGTTAGGTTAGTGTTGACAAATGATAACCCCGTTGGGGTTTTGTCATGGAACCGGAGCTGGCGGACGCTCGCCCCACAAGGGGTCACAGCTCGAGATTGAAGAAGCCGCAGGTCCAGAAAACTGTGAGGGCTAACTTTTTCGGAGTGAGAGTTGTGAACTCTTGGAACAATCTACCAGAAAGTGTTGTGACGGCACCGAATGTGAGCTCTTTCAAAACAAGACTTGACCAACACTGGAGCGGGTTCAGGTACATTCAGGAGCCGGTGCATGCCCAGTACTTGCCAACAGTGCGTAACAAAGATGTGACCGATCGCCCAAGCGGCTAACGAGTCGATCATTTGGTGAAGAGGATAAAAGAAAACGAAAAATAACAGAAATGTGACCGATCGCCCAAGCGGCTAACGAGCCGATCAGTGGTGAAGAGGATAAAAGTAAAGTAAAAAGTAAACGTCTCTTGAAGAGGGAGTCAGCGAGGTAAATAACAAAAATGGCGCCGGGAGGAGAATTGTGAAGCGGGATAGAATAAAAAAAAAAATACTTAAAATTATACTAGAAAGCTGTTTCTTTTAATATACTTAAATAAATACAATTAGTATAGCAAAAATAAAGAAAACTAATAAACAACTTCTGGTGTTAGCACTATTCTACACCTTTACCAAAAGTACAGTACAGTTTTATAACTGCACAACTACAATGAATTGCTGGAAAATCAAGACTGTAGATTTTAAGATTAGGCTCCTATACAATGAAGAGGTTGGAAAATCAGGCTACAATACTCCGTGTTGGAATAGTAGTAAAAATAATATTTAGTAAAGGAGATTTTCCTGTGTATAAATTAACCGCCTGGGAAGCTATTGGCAGCATAATGTGTTGTCTAATGGTAGACCCTGCTGCCATATGGCATCACAAAAATTGTGACCAAGTCCCAGGTTGCTGATCTGACTTTCTGCCTTATTTACACACAATTGCAGGGTCTCAATTGTTTCTCTTACTATTGACAACACAACATACATATATTGTTTCTCACTTTTGATCTTTTTTTTCATTTTATTATTATTATTACATTTCGCCCCCCAGGCTCCGATGTAGGTCAGTGACCTGTGCCTGGGTGGACTAATTCCCGCAAAAAAAGAAAGAAAATGCAGGTATAATATACAGGTATATAGTTCAGCATGAGTATAGGTCCTTTACTTAGGCAACGAAATTTCCAGGTCTTACCTTTGTCTTGGCGACTGCATACGCGTCGTTTCTTGAAAAACTAAATGTTATCTTCTCGATAATGGCAGTCTGCACCACACTTGGGACACTTTACGTAAGTTTGTGGAACACCATAGGCATTACAAATGTCAAATGTAGAGGCGTTATATAGATGTCAACAGCTGCGATTTCTTTCTAAAAAACTCGCTAAATTCTCAAGAATTCTCTGAATTACACGGCAATCTGTCAGGAACCACCCTTCGCTGACAGTTGTCATCTAGTGAAACTAAGAACTAACCATTTCCAATTTCGGAGCTTGCGCATGCTCATAAGTCTTCCAATGATTGGCTCACAAGTATCACGTGCTTCCAAATTTCTGCTGATTGGTTGGGTAATAGGTAAACACAGGATTTCCCAGGGATTTTTATTAAATTTCAGGAAAATAAAAAACAAATCTAAATAACCCGAAAACTATTAATTTCTGCGGGAAATGCTATAAAGAATTTACATAAAGTTCTGTGCTTGGCAACTTCTATATATTAAACAAATGGACAAACCAATAGAAAAACTGGATTTCGCCGCATTCTTTGTCTTCCTCCCTTTATTCCTTGCCTAGTTAGTTTATTTTCCGACAGCTTGACAACACCACACTGGAGGGTGAACGCGTCCTCTAGTCTCAGAATCCATGCCCAGACCTATTTAACCTAACCTACTGTAACTCCGCCACAGAGAGATTGTTAGCTTGTTGAATGGCCTGGACAGCCTCCTTATGTGTTACTATACACCAAGGCTCAGGTATTGTACCATTCATTACTCAGGCGCACTGCAGAACCGCGTGTATTAACTGTACCCTTCTCCAGGGAACCCAACGTACTGGAGAGAACAGTGCAAGAGACAGTAAGAGAAGTAGGGAAGTGAGGAATGAGAAAGGTTGTAGTAGTATTTAGTGAAGAACATTGGTTGAGTGAGTGTGGTAAGGTCGGAGGTGTACAGAAGCCAAATTAAAGCAAATAAAGGCAACATTGAATGAAATAGTAATTATTTTTTATTACTTTATTACAGATTTACAAATAAATATTACATTGAACTAATAAATATACTTAAATATTTACAATAAATAATGGAGAAAGAAATACCCACAGGAAGTCTCCCAGATCTGGGAAGACCTGGCGAGGGGGAGCGGTGAGGACTGCTTTGCTTGGCTGCTTCAATGTACAATATCAAAACAACACTTAAGTAAGTTAACAAAACTCACACACACACACGAGTGCTACATACTAATGCTCCGTAAAAAAAATGTCTGTTATTTCATATCATTAACTACAGTATGCTCATGGACACAAGTCTCTTTCTAAGGCCTCAGCCAAGTGCACGAGGAAGGATGGTGGTGGAGGTGAGTGTGTGGCGAGCAAGATGATGGTCACACAGCTGTACACGACGTCTTACTGTTATACATCTACTAGTGAAGGAAAGAAGACTCTCCTCATTGGCTTGTATCTCTCATAATATACACTGAAGTAGGTGAACGTTTACAAGGTGCTCAGTCTGCAAATCCATGTGCTAAACAGGTCATAAATAATGTGGAATAAGGCCAGCTAATTCCAGTTATTAATAACATTTTAACTTATATAACGAACAAATAAAAGGAAAATGAAACAAGACCCCCATAAGAAGCACGAGTGAGCGCGTGAGTGTGAGGAACCGTCGGGCAAGACGCCCGGGGAAACATTGCCAGCTCAGGAGTCTGCCTGGCCTACCTGTGTCTCCCCGTGGCTTGGTAGACAGTCCAGGCTTTGGTAACTTAAATATAAAGCTATAATGTGCTTGAGTTACTGAGAAACGAGACTGTAGAAGTCCTTGTGTTAATATGTGAAGCTGGTAATGGAGGTGTTTGTGCAGCACAAATGTACAAGTTGACTGTGTGCTGCTCACTACAAGTCACTTTACTCGAGCTACGGACTGTGTGGGGGGGACCAGAAGGAGGCGCAGTAAGGAGGAATTAAGTCATGGAGGGACAGCTTAGGAACAAAAGTGAAAATGTGAGCTAACAGAGATGAACCACCGTTGGAGAGGCCGTCACCACCCTTGCCCGGACCACCGTCACACACGTCCGTCGGGTGTGAGCGGCGGTGGTCGAGGCGTCAGCACCGCGGCTGGCAGTGAAGGAACAGTTGAGGAGTGCGCAGGCATGAACAACACCTGCGCCCTGGTGTTGGGGGTCGGGGCGGCGTTATGGCACAGTGCAGAGTTCGTGGTGGTCGTGTGGCTCAGTTACCGCCCGCCACCTTGACGAACTCGGGGTTGTCGAATCCCTGCACGAAGGTGGTGACGCCGCCTTTAGCGTTAAAGGTTCGCACACGAGTGTAGAGGAAACAAGCCACTAAGCAGGCAATAGTAAGGACAAGCAGCAACATAACAAGACCTGCTGCGAAACCAGTCGCAGACATACATATGTTGGATGCATCATCAAGCATTTCAGAAATTACAACTGTCTCATTTGCAGAATTTAGGTTGAAGGCAACATCGCCAGGAGCCACGACCTGGATGACCCGAGCAGTGGACACGTCAGTCATCTCTTGAGCAGCACGACGATAAACATGAAGCACCGCTGAGCGACGCACGCGGCTTTCTTCCTCAACATCCTCGTCTAAGTCTTCATGATCCAGAGAACGAGGTCGACCAGCGCTGTCCAAGGAAGATCCCTGGCGGTTGACTTGAGAGTAAGAATTTCCTGGGAGGTTCACAAGGACAGGTTGGATAGGGACGCTGACAGGGACAGGGAGGGGATTACCACCAGCAACGTCTCCTGGGACTCCATCGCCAGACTTGCTCTGGGCAGTCTGTGGTGAAGCTACTGGGATTGCTTCACTAGACAGAGCCTGCTTGGTGGGGCTACGGGGGTCGGGGAGCCCAACAACGTTGTTGACTCTATTGCTTGGGGCACCCTGATAGACCCCACTGCCGCCGTCACACTGTGGTTCAGGGCAGTTGTAGCGGCATACCTGAATTACACATTGGAAGTGCACGTTCATGCTGTCGGGGAATTTAAATGCTTGGAAGTAGGCATAAGACACCACAGATGCAGAAGAGCCGAAATTTTTGACTTTCTGGAAGCGTCCCATTATCTTGGGTCGAGTGACACAGCCGCGCTCGTCCACCAGCTGTATGGGCGCCCTCTTCCCGTCGTGAGCCACACAGTTACGCACCATCATGTCAAACTTATTCTCGTCGTCCTTGATGGCTAGAACCATGGTCATAGTTTGGCCGATTTTGACAATACCGGAAACCTCAGAGGCCCAGGGACCCTTGCCCACCTGGATCTGCATCCAACACTGTAGGTTGTCACCCAGGAAGTTGGCAGTGACAGCATTCAACATGTCAACCTGTTGTGAGAGACAGTCATCATTAACAAACATCGTCCAGCTCAGTGTTTATACCTAGTATTCAGAATTATAAATTAAAACACTTCTCAGTACTGTATGATAGTGGCAGCCCCGAAGATATAAACTAAATAATCTAGAAAATTGAAAGTGAATCCCATAGGCATGACTGCCCGTTAGGGACAGTGTGGATACAACACACTGTATGCTAAGTCTTCGGTGCACAAGGAGACAGCATGGCCGGTACTGTACTCAACCTCATTCAACATAGGTACCCATTTACAGCTGGGTGAGCTGGGAGCGCCCAGGAATCTAACCTTCGACCTCGATTTTATCCACTTTTAATTGATTCTACACATACGAGTATGTCTGAAAGTTCTTTTTCCGGCTAAAGTTTCACATAGCTAATAAGAAAATATAAAACAACAATAAGTTTTTGTTGCCAGCACTAACTTGGTGAACGGCTGCCAGACGTAAGAGCATAAAACAGATAAGACTGATTAAAGATAGAACTAATATTTCTATACCTCGAATAAACACTACTCAACATTTTTACTCAAATTTCATGTTTTATATTTAATTTTAGTTTTCATTTATAGGTATTCTCATTTAACACAATGTCGATTCTTAGCATTGATGCGTCACACACACACAAGAGCGTGTCACGAGTATAAACACTCACCTGGAATGGTCTGAAGGTAACAGACTTCTCGTAGTAGTCGTACCAGGTGCAACGGAGCTTCCTTGCGGCATCCCACACCTGCAATACCAACAGTGTTAACACCTGTTGTCCATACCAACACCTGTATCTCACAACAACTCTACATTATTAATGAATGACACCTTTACTAACTTGCTCACCATACTAAATAGGGTTACCATAGGGCAGTGTTTTTCAAACTTTTTTTACTGCGACCCACAGCCAGAACAACAATTTGAATTGCGACCCATTAAACCTAAGTGTAATGATATGAAATGAGTAAATCAAAGACAAACACTGCTCTCCTTGCAGTCGCTTCCTAGACGGTGGAGTGTACATTACAATAACCAAGCCTAAATTATGGTGCATTTATTTTTATTTTCTTATTTATTTTCGCGACCCATTTTATTTTTTTTTCTTATTTATTTTCGCGACCCATTTTTATTTTGCGACCCAATTTATTTATTTCGCGACCCACTGAAGGGTCGGGACCCATAGTTTGAAAACCCCTGCCATAGGGCAATATAAAACACCATGTTCATATGGGAGACGATAATTTTACCTGTGGTCCTGATGGGGTTAAAACACCTTCCTCGTGGATTCAAAACATCCTCAGAGGATTGAAACGATTTCCTTTATGTTTTAAAATATAATTCTTAAGGGGGCTAACTCTTTGAGGATGATGTTTTAACCACTTGGGGATGATATTTTTAACACTTGAGGGCAATGTTCTAATCCATTGAGGATGATGTTTCAACCCTTAGAGGATGATGATATTTTGAAGGCTCAAACACAACAAATTCAAGTCATCAGTCGATATATATTTCATAACTTGACAGCATAATGGTGTTCGCGTGTGAGTATAACTTTATAGCGAGTAACTTACCTCTTGTACCAACGGGTCGTATTGGATTATGACTGTGTTCTCAATGAAGGTTCCTGAGGGTGTGGGTTGGCCGTAGTTGGCGTTGCTGGCGGTAGAGGTCATCCCGCAGCTGTTGAGGTAGATGTCGAACTGTGCCTGAAGGCGACCAGTCCCAGGTTGAACGTGGACACAGCTCTGGTCACTGTAGCAGTCACAATCATCGAGTTGGAGGGAGGAGGATAAAAATAAACTTTAGAACTGATGGGTAAAGAAATTAGCTTTGATCTCTACCTCTTCCCTTATCTCTCTTTTTCGGAAAACTGATGGGAAAATACTTTAGCCTCTCTCTCTCTCTCTCTCTCTCTCTCTCTCTCTCTCTCTGGGCACTTATGAATGGAATTAGAGCTACAACATCGAGGCATGTTGATTTTAATTGAAAAATACAATCAGAATTTCGCCATAAATTGAGAAAGAAATGTTCTAGTCATTTACAGATAAATAAAAACGAGAGAGAGAGAGAGAGAGAGAGAGAGAGAGAGAGAGAGAGAGAGGTGGATGGTTGGATGGAAGGAGAAGTATGAGGACCTACCTGTAGTAACCCTTGCTGAAGATCATCCCGTAGAAGGGGCGGTCGAACTCCACTGACACACGCATGAAGGACTTCTCACACTGGACCTGCAGGCACCAAGGACACGTCACAATGGCTGCTTTATTATTCAGTTCTTTCTATTTTGTTTTGTTTTGTAATACTGTACTAACTCCTACATCATCTTGCCAATCAATATAAGTAAAGATAGCAATTTGTACGGTATGGTCAGCTATCTAAGTATGTAAAACAGGATACAACAGTATAACATTGTTCATAACTTATTAACAAAAAACATATGACGTCAAAATCTTTCTTATATACGAGTCAGCCAGACAGGATATACAGGGTGATCGAAAAAAAAGAAAGCCTAGATTGTAATATGTAACCATTTAAAATCTGGACATTCTTTTTCGACGACCCTTTACTGTATATTCTGACGGGGGAAGAGAACGCGTACCTGGAGGTTCTTGATGGTGTTCATATCGGGCTGAGCAAGGGGCCAGGGGTCGTCAGGGCCTGTTTGTAGGGGTCCAGTTCCTCCTAGATGTGATCCTGGGCCTCCTAAGGAGGGTCCATAAATATCTCCTCCTCGATGCTCGACAGGAAGGGAGGCTGAGTCGAGGGCGTTCTGGTCATCATACGTCTGGCCCTGAGGACAACAAGGAGAGCTTAGTGTGTGTGTGTGAGACAGTCAACCTCTATGGCGCCAGCACACAAGGACATGTTCAGCGTACAGAGTATACAGTATCACATACCTAACTCAAAAACAAGCAACTTTCATATGTGCTCCAGTTTCTCGTAAAGGAATTTAGGTGCTTGTAACACAACCTGACTCAACCCTAACATATTTATGAGAATAATCACTTACTGTAATTTGTAAAGGGTTAAAAATACAAAAAACTATAAGCTAAAGGAATGTAAATAAGAGTAGAACAAAAGAGATGATAATATGGCAACTAACACCAACAAAAAAGGAGTTGCCAGTGAGGAGAGTTGAGGCCGCCGAGGTGATGAGGGCCAGTGGGTCACCTCTTAGACCCCCCGCGATCCCACCCCTCACCCTGCCCGCCTTCCCTTAGGCCCCGCCCAGGTTCTTCCCGGCTTCTCCGATAGAAGTATAGCCTAAGTGGACATTAATCTGAGTCGTTAAGGTGAAGGTAAACACAAATATATGAAGCTACACCAGTATGGAGTTTTGTAAGTACAGATGGTTTACTTCATGACTATTTATAGTGTTTGAAGAGAATTATCGATTGGTTCCCGAGTTAACTTTCTCTCGTAGGATCTCTGGGTCAGCACCTCCTGCCATGAACTTCACAGGTCATGAAACACTCCCTGACCAGAATCACCAGCCTTAAGCTCCCACGAGAGGTGTTATTCCTACACACGCCTGGGGCACCATTCTCCTGCTGCTGCTTAACTGTACAGTGTGCGTCCAGTGAATCATAAACAGATCATGTTGTCAGCAGCGGTGTTGTGGAGAAACTATTGTCCACACCATCACCACATGGCTAAGGAATGGCAGGTTTAGCGTCACTCGAGGGCGTGGGGGATAAAATTATCTCAGTCAGTCAGTGAGTGAGTCAGTTAATCAGCACTCAAAGGTAGTTAAAATATCATCATAAAGGACTAGAATACCTTATAAAAATGAAGTAAAAACGAATTTGATTGAAATACAAAATGAATCATTGATAATATTGTATTTGGCAGTCATCAAGAGGATCCACTGTACTACCAATGTCAATGTATGTAAATTATGATTTGTTGTGTTTGGTATGAGCAGTTTGAACAAGGTTTAATTGTGAATGTGAGGCTTTTATGTGTGTTGAAGTGTAAGTATACGCCATTTTGCTTTTTTTTCAATCTTGGGGGGGAGTGGCGTAGGGGTTAACCTTCTTATGGTTTTGTAAGTTTCTTATTTTTGAAGTATTTATGTGAACGACAATGGACACACCCATCCCTGCACGCCTCGCAGTGTGTGTGTGTGTGTGTCCTGCACGTTATACGCTAGGCGTCGCACGCTAGTCAGTGGAGAGAATCACGTCTCGTTTGTACAACACAAAACACGACAGATAGAACACTTGGCGTAGAGAAGAGAAGACAGAACTGAGATTATCGACATGTAGGGAGAGCGAGTACACCTGGCAGAAGCAGGAAGCACACAACAAAAATCGAATAAAACAGAAAGTTGAAAGTTTGTGATAAAACAGGTTATTTCTTCTTTAGCGACATCAACTCGAATTAAACAAGATCGTGTGTTCCTTAATGAGATATTTCAGGCCCGAGTAGAGACGAGAACACCGTGACCCAGTAAGGAGGAGGAGGAGAGGTGAAGTAGTGAGTGGAACACGTGCAGTAGCTGAGCGTTTGTGAAGGCACTTTCATAACTACAACACACACTTCAGTAACATCAGTCGCCCATTAGCAGGAAAACCAATTGTACGAGGACCGCGGAGTATCTATTTTATTGGTATATTGCGTGTTAGATCAATGGCAGTAATGACCTCACATTGGCACAAGTGGTCGAGGTCTCAGCTGTGGTCCACACGTCACCGCTTCCCCCCAGCCAAGTCATGGTCAACACTAGGCTAAATGTATTTGTCTTGTCCATCCCAGTAATTCACAGCCGCACGAGCGAAACTTTCTTTTTTATATCCAGGGTCTGACTATACAAGTGTGTTCATTATGTGTACAGGTGGAGTCGTGTAGGAACTTTCAGCTCCAGTAGATCCATCGATTATTTTGGTCAATATGATGTATTTGTCACTACTACTAAAGTTCCTGTGGATTAAAAAATATTACGTGTTGGTTCAACTCTGAATGGGCGTGTATGTATCAATATGTAATCAATAAACATTCTCAATTGATCAAGAAAAATAACAAATATATGAATTTAATTTTATAATATACACGTTACTTTATATTGGTAACGGAGGAGGTTAAACATTACTAGGGCAAAACCTCTTCATGTGACACCGTTATTCCGGATAATTATTACGGAGATAATTATATGCGAGTTGTAGGACGGCCATTTGTTAGTAACCAAAAGACAATTAAGTTGGTGGCTTGGAAAACACAACAGCCATAACACTGACAACTCTGGCAGCGTCGTCCTCCAGTCAGGCAGCAGTGGGCAGGGGTGGCTGGCGTACGATTATATGCTTAACATTTGTGGTTAACTTGGGATTCGGGCGTTTAATAATCTCCCCATAAAACAGTTGACTAATAATTACGCGTAACAATAATAAAACAGGCTCACTAAACAGTAAAACAGTAAATGATAATGGGAGCCGTAAGATCATCACCACAGATGCACGTAAAGGTGGCGGACGTACGATTAATTTAATAACAGTGACAGTATAAATAAATCATCAGTCAATTAGTTCTATTAACAGTGATGGTACTGTTACTTGACAAAACTGTAACTCATAGAAAGTTATAAACAAATAAGCGATAATAAAAGTAAATGGAATTGTGAAGAATATACCCGAGAGAGAGAGAGAGAGAGATTCGCTAAAGGAAAATAGAAAGTTGTGGTCGTATAAAACATGCAAGAAATTAAGGAGTTGAGACATCATTGTATCGAAAGTTTCAGATGGTTGAAATATAGTAAAGAAACACACACACGAAGGATAATGAATTAGTCACTAAATAATACACCAAACAAGAAACAAAACGGGAAATAGTATAAAAGAAAATGAGAAATAATAAATAACAGAAAATGGAAAAAAAAGTTAAAGCTGCAGGGGGAAACTGCGTTGTGGGAAGCAGTGACAAATCTTGCTAGAAGCACTGGGTTGTCTCAGGCTGCGAGTGTTTGAGCTGACGGTGTGATTTTTGTATAACAGGGACAATATAGGGAGGATATGATTGTTTACTTTTCCCTGCTCTGTATGTTGGGGAATTTCGGTCGTTTTATCCTGTACTTTTACCCTCTCCCTTCCTCGTCCTTCTCCTCTCTCCCACTCCTTAAAACCCCTTTCTTCTTCCTTCCCCTTCTCTTTCTGTCCCATCTCCTACTCTAATCCCTTTCCATTCCCCGGTTCCCTTTCTTCTCCTTCCCTGTCTTCCCCCTATATACACACATAGGTAACTGCCCCCCCCCTCTAATTATTCCCCTCTCACGATAACTAGGTGTGGGGGTGGGGGGTGCCAGTGGGTGCGATATCAGCTTCCGGGTGAGGTGAGGGTAGCACCTTGCCTGACCTCACCTTACCTCGTCCTCTCTCTGCCGTCCTCCTCCTTCATCACCTCGTGTAACCTGTTGCTGCCACGAAGCACGGGGAGAGAGAGAGAGAGAGAGAGAGAGAGAGTTACTTAGTTAAGAAGTAAGACAAATGCCGGATTCAATGGAGCAGAAAGATAAGGCAGTTGAACACAAGGCTTGAGGTGTCACTGTCAGCTAACACACACGGGAACACGTTGGTAGTGGACGAGAAGAGTTTTTAACAAGTACATGGAAGACTTGTAGTGGGGATCACAGGTTAACGACCCCACCTTGATTCACCTCCACCACCTCCCTCCACCCCCCCCCCCCTAGCAACACCCTGACACTTGATCGAGGTGTCAGTGTAGGTGTAATGGGTGTAGTGTAGCGGCGGGTGTAGTCGTGGTGTCGTCTGCCTCGCACACCGTCGTCTTCCCTGACAGCCGGAAGCGCCTAGACTACAATTGACTCAGTTGTGTCATATTATTTGGTGCCTGGCAGAAGGACGCTCGCTACCTCTGTTATGCAGGAATTCTGGAGGTCATGTGGTCCTGTCTCCAGTGACTGTCACTACCAGTGTAACAGGACCTGCCAGTCACCCACTCATTCCACACCTCTACCAAGACTATGGGAGATTGGGAGGTCACGGGGTAGGGGGTGGAGGCAGATTCTCAAAGATTCATACGATTATTTTCCCCGTTATTGAAGGCATAAGAACACATTTAATTGGTTACCTTAAGAAACGGTAAAAATAAATGAGGTTCTGAATGGCGCTGAGAAAGCACAAAGAACTCTACTGTAATTACATACGTTTTATAATCTCAGCAGTCGAGGCCAAAAATCCACATACGAGTTTTTCTTTTCGAATCCAGAATCCGGATTCATAAAAGTTCCTTGAAACCAGAGATGTAACAAAAACACAGAAGAACCATAAAAATAACATCAAAGTTACACCAAGACTCAACCTTAACTGAATACGTCCACTCAGTACGAGTTAGGAGACCACAATTAATGTAGACACATTTGTAAAGATTCTGCAATTTAATTTGGTCTCCTAACTAGTACAAAATGAACGTAACTGGTAAAGGTAAAGTCTGAGTGTAGTTTATATGTTATTCTTTTGATGAAATGTCAGTACTTTAGCTTAAGTTAATTAATTAAGTTAATACATTTTTATATCAACAACCAAAAAATTATCATGCAAACCTTGTTGAGAATTTAAATCTAGAACTTAATCTTTTTTTATTATAATCTGGAGTAAACCGTTTATTCTGGTTTATAAATATCAAATAAAAATACACAAACAATTGATTAAGCAAACAAACAGCGAGGGGGGAAGACCAAGCACTTTGCCTCGACACAGTAACCTCGCCATCACTGGGTCAGGCCAGGGGCTCGCTCGCTAGTGTGCTTCTTTGGTCACCCCCCCACTGCCTCACCCC